CGGCAACAACAAAACTACAGCGAGAATAAAAGTTACGCCTTCTTTCTTTGCGTGAACATTTGGGCGGCGTTATGCAAATCTTTCCACATCATGACGTAGACATGTGGGGGCGTGTTAGAACGAGCCGTTTTAGGTAGGCGTGGCTGACTCTGAACTTTTATAAAGAATATCTCTTTGGATTTGAGACTTTAGTCTTTGCAACTTTACAGATCTCCTTTATGCACCAAGAGCTTGTAACACTCCAAAGAGAAAGGAAAAATTGAAATCGCATCATATGACCCCTTTAAGAGATCAAATTTATGATGTCTAAAAATCCAGTAATTTTGGAATTAGATGTTTTTCAGCACAGTTATAATAAATGGTTATTTAGGACTCTGGGATCTCTCATTGGATCTGAAAGTTATATTGTGTTTGCGTAGTGCATCTGTATAAAATATTTTTAAAAGCTTAGGAAAAATGTGATTTTTGTTTTTTTTGCATTATAAGACTCCTTTAAGCTGTGTGTCAGTAAATTTATACAGAATAAATGAAATTATTCTTTAGTTAATGAAGTGTTAAAAATATTGATTCATGTCTTATGTTGACACTAGGTGCCTTCAAGACTCTTGACAAAGACAATGATGGCACAATCAAGGTCAATGTTCAGGAGGTAAGGACATTTTGGCTAGTTACATTCTCTTAAAATTAGTATCGTATTTACTGAGGATAAAATGTTTTTATATATATAATTATAAAATAAAACTCTGTCTCTTCACAGTGGCTGCAGCTGACAATGTACTCTTGAGTGATGTGAAGGCCTGCAATCAATTCAGATCGAAACAATTAGTTTAGTGCTTATTGAAATATTATGCAATATTGACATTCTGCTTTACACAGCTCCCTCTCTTGTTTCTCACTCACTAATTCCAGAGAAATACCAGCATGGAGCTGGTCAACCACTGGGGTTATGTGGGTCACTCGACTGCTATTGTCTTTCTCTATAAGTTTTAGTTCTACCAATTTTTTTTTTTTTTTTTTTGCGTTTAGCCCATTAGTAGCGTTGTTTAAAAGAAAGCTAACCAAAGAAAGAACATTACAAGAAATATGTCAAAGAAAATTAACAAATATGCTCAAATGAAGAGTCTAGGTGCAGTCACAAATATGCAAAACTGTATTACATATTCTTGTTGTCAGTTGGTGCCATTTTGCATGAGGCCAATGGGGGGTATAAGGGATAAAAAATATTGCCACGATTTCATGAAAATCTTATATCAAATGCAATTTTATATTAAATAAAAAAAAGTATAAAGTGATAAACTTGTCTGTTTTTCATCATCAGTTTGATTATTGATTAATTTGATGATCATTGATGTATGTTTAGTAATATTTTCTCTATATTATATATCCGGCATATATTTAATTCCAGTAGCTATAAATAAAACCTAAACATATTCATAATAAAGCGAATTTTTTAGCTAATGTGCCATTACCGTCAGCCTTGGCTAAAGCATGAGTGCTGAACCTGTTGGGGTTAGTGAGCACCAGCGCCACTTATACAGGAGCGGTCAGACGTGGTAACTGCACCCACCCGTCTACGCCGTGGAGAACGGGCGAGCTAGTGCGCATGCGCAAAGCATTCGCTGCTTTCTACGAAGTTTCTGGATATCTGGGCGCAACGCAAAATATCGATTACATTTGACCACTCAGGTATTTATGCGACGCTTTTGCAGTCTTAAAGTACCTTTATATGCTTATGGCGATTCAAGAATTTACAAACTGACCGAGAAAGTGATTTAAGATCTCACATATCGTGTAAAATAGCTAGCTAGCTTAAATAGCTAGACGGTAGTGATGTAGGTAACGTAATAAGAAAATAAGGGCGAAATGTCCTTCCGCATCCAAGCGTTTTGTTTCGTTATGATAAAAAATTATGTTCTGTTTAGAAAAAACATGAATTATGTTTACTGTTGTGTGCTGCTGGGGATGTTTGTGTTCGGTTTAATTCAGCTGTTTACATCGACGGCGCTGCCTCGGCGCAAAGACAGAACGCGTGAACGTAATGTCGCTGTATTTATGTAACTACACCTCGATGCAAACATGCGCTCGTACGTTTACAGCGAGTGAGTGAATGAATGAGCCGGTGTTGTAGTTGCTCTTCCTTCAGTCACATTAGAAGATCATCTTGTATTTGGAAATCAAGTGAATGTGAATAATTAATCTGAACTATTTTGCACTCACGGTGACGCTGATGTTCACTGCATGCTCACTTTACAGTGGAATATGGACCTTTGGTTTAGTTGTACGTGATTTATATACTCACTGATTTATGAGACGTGACAGAACATATCTCAACTTTACATGCCATTATTTTTTAAAATGGCACCGTTTTCATTTACATTTAGTCAAGCAGCGTGTATCTGAGCGCGCGCGTCCGGTTTTGTGCGAGAGCAAAGGAAATCCGCGCGCGAGCGGAGAGATTTGCGCTCGCGCATTGTATTAATGTGCTTTCGCGCTACAATAGTGCGCTCTCGACATTTGTCATTAAAATAACGCCATAGGGTCAAGGCATCAAGAGCCACCACACACAAGTAGATAGAATAGAAAAAATAGAAAGCTAGTTTTTTTTTTAAATAAAAAAAGAAGATAAATAGATGAAGTAGAATTAAAATAGAATAGAAAGTGCTAGAGATAGAGGGCCAAATAAAGGTGGAACTGATGTGTTTTTAGTCATTTCTTGAAGATGGCTAAGGACTCTGCTTGGATTGAGTTGGGCAGGTCATTCCACCAGGAGGGAACAGTTAATGAAAAAGTCTGTGAAAGTGATTTTGTGCCTCTTTGAGATGGCACAATAATACACCGTTCACTTGCAGAACGCAAGCTTCTAGAGGGCACATAACTCTGAAGTAATGAATTTAGGTAAATGGGTGCAGAGCCAGTGGTGGTTTCCATTTTGACATTAATCAGAAGTGATTGCTTGAATGTGTGACAGTAATTCTAATAATAATAATAGTTGTTAATTAAAAACTACAAATAATGTGTAGGACTCTTCCCATATTTTCTTTTCTTTAAGTTTTGAGTTTTATAGTTTATTTAGATAATTGCCTATATATTCAGTGTCATGACCATGTTATGTCAATTTTGCAATACAAATTGTAAAGAAATTGTTGTAGATAATTTATCACATTTTAAGTAGGCTCTATAAGTTAGAACACAAGCAAATCGTTCTTGTGTTTAACCCTGTAAATCCTGACATATGAAATAATAGTCTGGAAAATATTTTGTTTATTAAACCTGTAGACAAAACAAAAAAGGAGGAAACACCTCAGTTTTATTCAGAGGCCCAAACTGAGCAAAAATATGCAATTTGGTGCAGATTTTATTTATATGGCCAAAAAGTAAGATGAAATTCAAATATTGTGCAGTGCAGTTTGTAGAACTAATTGAATGGCAGGGTTCTGTATAAACAAATAAGGTTTAAAATTGTAGCCTTTTTTTTTGTAAAATCTGTTTTTGAGAGTGAGCTGATTCAAATCAACATGATTACTATTTTTTTTTTATATATATATATATGTAATTTCTACACTGACTTACAGACTCCCCCTAGCTGGAGAGAGTGATATTCTGCTGTGAAGATGTCTGTGTCTTCGCTGTACCTCAAACAAGACAACATTGTGCGCTTCAAGAGGAGAAAGGCACGTTTCTCCTTCAGTGAAGTGCACATCCTGCTGGACGAAGTGCGGAAGAACCGCCACATTGTTGTGGGTGAGTTTTTCCTCCGTTTGACACGAAAAACGTGGCTGAGCAAGTCACCAATCTGTAATAAACTGAGTTCAAAACCACCAGTAATTTTATTTGTCCCTATAAAACCAATAAACGGTAAAAGAAGATGTTCCAATACTTTTCTGTGTCTGTGCATAGGTAAGTTTAACGCCGGCGTTCCCTCTGACGTGAAGCGCAGGAAATGGGCTGAGATCACGGCACGTGTTAATGAGATTGGAGAGTGTGACAGAGAGATCATGGAGGTGATCAAGAAATGGTCAGATCTTAAGTGCGACACGAAACGTAAATTGGCTGCCCTGCGGACGGGTCTTTTGGTGTCCCAGAGATTGGCACGGTCCAATATTGAACTGTCCCCAATGGAAGTCATTGTGGAATCCATCCTCGATCTGGACAAGAAACCGTGGGAAGCTACACAGCGGTCCAGATCTCGCAGTCAAGGTGACGATCAAGAGGCTGTGTGTGAGGATGAGGAAGAGGAGGATGGAGGGTTTGTGGAAATGGGGTCGGTCAACAGTTCCCCGAGCAGAGGAATGGATGTGGGAGGAATGCCTGCTATTACAAGTGGATCTGGGGGTGCAAGTGAGGTGCAGTATGACAACTCCAAAACTGGAGGTAAACAAAATACTTAAGTTGGATCGTATTAAGAATTTTCAATAGATTTAGCACTGCAGTGTGGATTTGTCCACATCAGCGATCTGTTACCAGTAAAAGTTCACTGTAAGAATTTTCAGTGTACTTTAAGTATTTGCATATTTTGCTCTGATCTCAATAATGAACCATCAATCATGTTTTCAAAAGCTACACTACTGTTCAAAAGTTTGTTGTTTTCTTATGCTCATCAAGACTGTATTTATACACTCAAAAATACAGTAAAATCAGTAATAATATAAAATATTATTATTACAATTTAAAGGAATTGTTTTCTGTTTTAATATTCAAAAATGTAATTTATTCCTGTGATAGCAAGGCAGAATATTCAGCAGCATTCCTCCAGTCTTCAGTGTCACATGGTCCTTCAGAAATCATTCTAATATGCTGATTTGGTGCTAAAGAAACATTTCTAATTATCAATGTTGAAAAAAGTTATACTTTTGGAAACCATGATAGACTTTTTTCAGGATTCTTTGATGAATAGAAAGTTTCAAGAACAGCGATTATTTGAAATAGAAATCTTTTGTAACATTGCACGTCTTTACTATCACTTTTGGTAAATTGAATTTACCAAAATAAAAGTATTAAAAAAACTTTGCTTAATAAAAGTATTAATTTCTTCCAAATAATAATAATTTAAATAAACAAAAAATTATTTCTGTAAAAAGTATTTTCTAATATAGCAAATCAATTTGTATATAAAGCAATAATTTCAGCCCATCTGTTCAGAACAAAAAATCTGACGTAAAAGGAAGTTGTAGCCCCTGGGGAATCCACAGTTGCTATTTTAATAAATGTAATAAATGACTTTTTAAAGCGAGCAGACAAAATTCTGATGAACTTCATGTTTGTTGGCAGATGCCTAATGTCTGAGAGTAACAATGTAATATCTGGGCGTTAAATGTAGCCAATCATTTTGATGACAGGCTTTATCTCCAGCATTTCTGACTTTTTTTTTTTGTAATGAATTTAGTCACACGACTCAAGGCAGTCACATGACTTTTTTGATGCACATTTTCTCTATAAGCACTGTGAAGTGTGAAAGCTTTATAAAAAGCTATACATATATTTTGTATGTGTATGTGTTAGGGTTGGGCCGATAGACGATGCCATTGTCCATCGCCGATGGCTGACAGACATCACGATGTTGAGCCGGCATCGTGATCCCCCCACCCATACCCCTCGCAATCCGCCGCATCCCAATTCCGTGTTCGAAAAGGAAATTAAGTGTACTACATAGGGCTGGGCGATATAGCTAAAAAATTTATCAACGATATAATGTTTCATATCGTTCGGTATCGATAATTATTGACAATTTTTATAAACTTTTTTTGAAACAAAGAGCAATAGAATTTTTTTTTTTACATTTAACCACTGTATTTTTAAATTAATTCAATTTATTGAGACAAACAACACTTTTTTTTTTTTTAACAGTCAAAAACAAAATTAAACAAATATCTAATTTCTAATGTTTTATATGCAAATTAAATAGGTTAAACTTTTGGCTTGTCTCCCGAGGCCACAGGGGGGCGCAATGAGCAAAATAATGCAGCACATTTAATTGTCAACGCAAGGATGTAACTGGCAATAAAAAAAAACGTGCATTACGTCTAAATTAACTCATATAAATCAAATATAATTTCGTAAATTGCATAAA